TAGTCTGAGTTTAAAAACAAACTTTAAAAATTGATTCAGGTTTGGTTTGATTTCAGTTTAAAAGTTTGCAAACAAGTTTGAGTTTAATATATATAATACTATATATATATATATTATTTAATAATATAATAATCTTATTATAAACTAAATTAAAATTACAAATTAATAAATATATTAATATACATGTACTTTAATACAATTATTATAAAATTAAATAGAAATATCAGTGAAGTCGAATAGCTTATTTTAAGTTCATAGCTTTATAATAATTAATATAGTTAAATAGTAAATGTTCGTGAACTTGAATAATTTATTTTAAATACTAAAGTTATACATTAAATTATCATGAATAAAAAATTATTTTTTATGCTCCATATGTACTAAGTTATTGCAGTATATTTATGAACTGTTTGATGTTTTTAAACTTGACCTAAAATAACTTATAAATAGTAAAGAGTAGTAAGAATTTGTAGTATAGTTGGAGTTGCTAGAGTAACCAGAATTCCTGTAATTCCACTACAAGTATTTGAATATTGTATATAAAGGGTGTTTTATTCTAAAATAAAACAGTCAATGATCATAAAAGTTTATAGGATATATGCTAATATTAATTATAGTTAATATATCGTATTGTCCAATTAATAAGAAATGATGTAATGAGTATGTAGTTAATTTTATGTATAAATACAATAAGAAAAATATAAAACAAAATTTTTCACTTTCAAAAATACATTGGTAAAAGGGTCATTTGACACTTACCCTTATAAAATATTCTGTCTTCACTGTCTTTGATTATAATCATGGTCAGAGCCACAACAATTAGAGAGCTCAAGATTATGCTGAAAAAATTATTTATTAATTGGAGGAATAGTAAAGTAAGACACCTATAGGACTTTCGAATACCACCTCTGGTGATTACATATTTCTTATGCATATTTACTATTATATTTCGCTATACTAATTTGTATAATATCACTAGTGAAATTTAAAAAATTCACCACGATTCGAATGCTATTCAACACTATCACATAACTTCGAATGATAGTTTAAGTGACCTTTGAATCGTATTGGTAAAATTTTTTAAATTTACCTGTGTATCTACATCACAACTAATCGCCAAATTTAAGTGTTTGTTTTTTATTCGATCCCAATCATAATTATTACGTGTATCACGTGAGTATGTCATATCACATTTTTTTTTCTTTAATTTCAAACTCTTATCAATTAATTGTAAAATTTCTACTATTTTTAATATTATTTATATTAATAGACCATTAAATTATATGCTTAATCTAATAGTTACTATTTGTAACTCTTTTATTTATTAGAACAATAGAAGCTAACATTATTTGTTTTATTTTTTATTTAAGAGTAATCCTTATTACAAACTTTCCAACTTCCCTTTAAGCGGTCCTATCATCCACAAGCAAAGACATTGTATTGCTTTTATGGTTTTAGGTGCTAATTTGGACCTTTTATTTGTTATCATATTTTCACTAGCAGAAAAGAAACGTTCGGATACAACTGAAGTTGCGAGGATTGCGAGGTAATCCCTAGCCATACAGGCAAGACAAGAATACTGCGTCTGGTGTGCCTAATAAAATTATATTAATATATATATTACTTAATAAGTTAATATTTGCAATCACTTACTTTTTACCATGCTAACACATCTATATTCTTATTTGCTAGTTTTTCTGAGATGTAGCATTCGATTTCATCAAACTTTTCACTATCCTCGTCAAAATCTTCATCCAAAATTGATTGTGTAGTTGACTTTACGGCATTACTAGTACTTAAGTTGTTAGGAGTCAGTAACGGATGCATAAATGGTTTCAAAAATATCACACATTTTAAAAAAGAGAATTCATATAAGTACAATATAAAAACAAATCAAAAAAATAAATAAAATAAAATATATTAAATTAAATTAGTATTTCACATCCTTAAAGTATATACAGTAGTTAAGACTAGAAATAGGCAGCAGAGTTATCTGCATTTTAAAAATCATACCACACAATCTATCAAAATTCTTTGGCTCATCCCTAGTTAAAATGGAATAGAAATTTACAAAGCTTTTGTCTCATTAATCTCATGATCTAGAAATTCCTTGCTGACAAAATATTGGAATTTTCTTCTCAGATATAATGCCATATATAACATTACAGTTGTATTTGTTTTAGAATAATACTGAACTAGTTTGTCTTTTGCTGCTGTAGTCGCTATAGAAAGTGACGAAACTAATAATTAAATTTTGTAAGTAAATCAATTTAAATTACAAGTTTATAAAAATAATTTTATAATCTATTGAATGTAGCTTTACAGAAACTTAAATATCTTTATATGCAGTAACTGCATAGTAATGGCATAGTAATTACATAATTACTATTAAATTTAATCATAACTATATAGTTATTGCACATTAAGAGATTCAAGTTTCTGTATAGTTAGTAAGAAATAACAAACTTTTTGTTTCCATTTTCGAAGTTGTATCTTCAATATGAATTATAATTATATTAAAAAGGGGAATAATTTAAGAAGTCGTGCTGTTTGTGCTAGATGATATTTTATTTGTAAGGTCTTTAAAGAGTTCGAAAAATTTGATAATTTCCTCTAAGATGGCCCATTGATTATATGAAATAGCATAATTGTGAAAATCATTATAAGAGCTTGTAAGAGTATTAAGTGTCTACAAATATATTATTAGAACTTGTATCTTTAAATTAGTGCTTGTAGTCAATTCTTATTTATTGATAAGTTAATATTATATTAAAATTCAGCTGCTTAGCCAGTATCGTGGTGTATGCGGTATATTTAGTTAAGAAAATCAATTTGGATCTCTGAATTCATAAGAAAAAAATATAGAATAGATATATTAGTGTAAAAAAAAAAAAAAAAAAGAGTAATATATATGCTCAATACTTGTCTTTGAGTTGAAAAGGTTTGAAACGATTAAATTGTCATGTGCACGTAATACACATGACTCGTGTGCTGAACGAAAATATGAAAATGAAAATAAAGGAATAATAAATGATGTAATCGTCAAATTGTATGATTGACTTATGATGTAATAATATAAGTCAAAATATAACTATATAAGTGAAGCCAAATTAATAAAGTTCAATGGCTTTTCTTCTTAGAATAAATAATAACAACCATAATAAAGAAATACTTATCCATAATTTTTCGATACCTACTTTTAGTATTATTTACTAAGAGTGGTAATACATCGAATCTGATTAGCTACTTTAATATAATCTAACATAAAATTGACTAAGTCGATTTTTTGACTAAGCTGGCTAAGTTGATAAAATTAACTAATATGAATCGGCTACAAGCACTACTCTAAATACCAATCAAAATTATAAATAAAAAGGCTCACTGGCTTTAGAGATAACTCATTCTTTATTATATTATAGGTGGAGTTCTACCTAGTAGGGCAATCCAGAATAGGTTTATAAAATTTGATATGATATGCATTACATAAATTTTCAAAAAGTTCAAGACATTGGGGTGTCATATAAATAGCAGCATTAAGTTCACGAATCTTAATTGTTTTTTTATTAATATAATAAAAAAATTTTTAATCAGCTTTTATGAAATTTATTAATACCTTGCAAACATATTCCTTTATTTGATCTAAGGCAGCCTGCATTGCCAAATTAAGGATATAATTAAAGTACCGAAATCAAAGGTGTTCAGAATTCCACTCAAGGTCTGTTTCTTCTTTTAGCTTTAATTCTAATTCGCGAACAAAGGTGTCATTATTTGCGGCATTATCCAAAGTAATAGCAAGAAGCTGCCAAAAAAAAAAAATAAAATGCAGGATATTTAAGGTATGATATTTGATACACTGATTAGTTTTTTAATTAGTGTAAAAAAATCATAAAAATAAGATACCTACTTTCGATACAATTCTATAATCTTTTAGTATATTAAAAAATCCATTTGCAATATTAACTCTGTCATGTTTTCTATTCAACAAACCAAAATCGACTAATATTTCTTGGAGAGTCCAGTTATCGTCTATATAGTGAGCTATGACTGAAATAAAGGCTTTATTGTTGGGTGATGTCTAGAGTATATATGCTGACGAAATTATTTCAGGGTCTAAAACCCGAAATTAAAATTTGAAGCTGAAATTGTTTTTGACCTATTTTACTTAAAAGATGAAATTTTTTAACACTTTTTTTGAATAGACAAAATTATAAAGAGCATAAATATATAAATTTTATTTGCTCTTTCTTATAAAAAATTTTAATTTGCTCTAATGGAGACGAAATAGGCCTTTTTTGAAAATCAATTTTGGTAGCATCTATAGTCCAGAGATCCGACGTAAAGAAGATCTTGGAATTAATAGAAGAAAGATATGCCTATAGTATGTAAATATCATACTTAGTAAATAATAATAAGTATATATATATTATTATAGTCATAATTAGAAATGTGTGATAATGACACACACAGCTTTCAATATAACAGAGGTTATAGTTTCAGTCCTTTGCTCCATTATATCAAAATCTCTGTAATAACAAAATTTCATGATATATTAGATAATACAGTAAATTATAATTTGGTTCTATTATAATTCTCCATATTAAGCTAAAATAAATCTTGCACTTAAAGAATAAAGAACTTGCAACTTGTATTTATGTTATAAGTGCAATATCCATTATATCGAAGCCATGTGTAATATCTTGTGCAAGATAAAGAAATTTTAGTAATCAGTAATTTAACAGTATAAATATATGTTAGGTTTATCTTGTTTGAGGCATATCTCTAGTCATAACTATATAATTTAATTGATCTAACCATCTCAAATTTTGTATAAAGTTTTTTTTTAAACCGCTTATATTATATATAAATTTACTCAGAAAATTTACCTTCATTTCTTACTTTCCTAAATTATAAAGTGCTATGATAGAATTTTTAATTGCATTTGCTTTAACTAATTGCACTGTAGGGTTTAAGTATTGTATAATTTTGATAAATTCAGGATCTTAGATTATAGCAAGAAGACGCTGTTGATTAATAATCCACGTGGCGATTATATTATAAAGTTTTATATTGTCAACATTAATCAACATCAGAGCAGGGGAATCTTTAGAATACTAAAATTCTTTCAAATTAGATTGAAAAAATTGAAATAAAATAAAAAAATAAGAACTTACTTTTTTAAAGAATCCTTCAATAGTACCACTTTTATTATGTATCTTCTTCTTTTTTTTGTGATAATCTTCTGTTGTAATATACTGCACCCAATGAGCTTTCTCCAAATAACACCATAATGGTTTGGTTGAGCCACTGTTTCCACATGAAAATTCCTTGTATACACAATTCGATATTGTACATTTAGCTATTTTTTTGTCCTTTTGCCATATAGACTTTTCGAAGAAGCCCTACACTTTACTTGTGCTACTTCATTTGTTACCAGTACTGTTAATGTCAATACTGTTATAATTATTATCTTGGTTACTATCATAATCACTATCTTGATTATTATTATCATAACTTGGAACAATTTCTGAATACATTGACAAAGAGCTCATTTTGGAGATTATTATTTTGGGAAAGCAATTTATCTTTAGAATACAAAAAGTAAGGACAAATTTTTACAAAATGAATGCTTTATCTTATTTATATCAAAGAGGTCATAAAAGAGTGCACTTTATGTTTGCAAAATTATATTTGAGATTATAAGAAAACCTTATTTTATAATATTCTTAATTTTATAATCCAGTCGATTCAAGTTTTCAATGTGTTAAGAACGAATAAAAATGATTTGTATGAATTATCTTAAAGAGTTTTTGTTTTTATAGCAAATAGATATTCTTTATTATAATGAATTTAAGAGCTCAAAAACCTTATTTACCTTTCATATGAAAAACGTTTTTTATATACTTTCTTGAAATTTTTCAGTTATTAACTTGTTCAAAAAAAAAACCGTAAGTGTGCGTATACAAGATCCCCTAAAAATAGCTAAATGGATTGTGTATACATTTTGAATTTTTTCCTTTTACAAAATAACCTCCCAGCATGATTAGACCGAAAGTTTAAAATAGTGTAATGAAAAGACCTGGGCCTTGCATACACACATTCACGATAGCAATGAAGATTGTCCATCTATGATAAATTATTCGTCCTCATTATGTTAGAAACTTAAACAAACTTGAATTGGTATGATTAGGTTTCATAATTATTTGACAAGCAGACTCTAACCTGATTGTTGCTATAAGATCTTACCTTTTAAGTAAGGTTCTGCATAGCATCCATGAATTGGGCTGGGCTTGGATTTATCTAACCAAATAAGGGCTGGGCTTAGATCCAAATATTTGGTACATATTTTGTTATACTGAATCTGGAAGCCCAGCCCGGCTCATGCAGAACTCTACTTCTAAGTCATACCACTATATAGATCCATATATTAACTAAAAATATAAAAAAGTATATTATCACTATTCATACTGTATTTACATTGCTATTAACATAAAATGTAAAAAAAAAACCCTAATCCTTAGTTTATAATTTAGTTGATTCAAGTTTCCAACACAATAAGAATGAATAAAATTAATCAATATTTTCAACAGACGATTTATAGGACCTATTTTAAAGAATCTCTGTTTTTTATGGCAAACAAATATTCTTAATTAAAGACTCAAAAAATCCTATTTATTATTCATATAAAAACCGATTTTTATATATATTCTTGGAATTTTTCAGCTATTAACTTGTTCAAAAAAATAAATAAATAAAAAAAAAAATAGCGTCTATTGGTTATAAAAATAGAACCTTTTAAAATATTTCCTTATATAATTCATTACTTAAAAGTGCTAGATAATTTCTATTTGTTCACATCATGTTATAAACTTGAATTGACAAACTTAAATTAACAAGACTGTAAATTAAGGTTTTGTAATTATCTAACAGAAGACTTTAACTTGATCATTACATCAAAATAAATATAAGATCTCTTTATAAATTGCCTTTTAAATCATAATACTATATAGATCTATGGGTTTACTAATTCCCACCACTTCTAATTAGTTCTACTAATTATTCAATATCAATTTTATAGTACTCTGATAGTGGAGTGGTGGGAAAAATTAGTAGGTTCATAGACTCATACAATATAGTATACTATCATTATTATGCAACATTACTTACTTTGATGTGTTAATCAATAAAAATTGGTCATTTAAGTTTCACATGCTTTGGAACAACTAGCCCAATACATAACTTTAAACTTCTAAAAAAGTATAATAATTCTCACAGCATTTACTGACTATGAGTGCTGACAACAAACCCAAGTGTGTTATATATGTGGCTTTCGATATAATGGACCATCGATTTAATATGAAGAATTTTTTTTTTTTTTTTTTTTTTTATAATTCGGTAGTTCTGCCTTCACTTTATTAGACTTTGTAATAATTATCTAAACTATTAAAATTTTCTGAGAAGATATTCTCCTCAGTACCTAAATTACAAGTGGAGACTCACTCAGTTGCTCATTGAGTATCTATGTACAACCTGCTATAATAAGAATTGCCTCTGTACTATCTTATCCTGCAATTGGCTTCGATAATATATCAACAGCTAGTTATTACCAACTGTCAAGACTATATATCAGTTTTTCACCAATCTGAACATTTCCCTTCTAAAATCCAACTTATCACTTTCTTCTTGATTATTGCTAGAACTGACAACCAACTTTTATTCTCATTCTCATCTTTTTTCTTTTTAATAATATGCCCGTCTGGTGGTTTCTTCTTCTTCTTTTTCTTCTTTGTTTTTTCGTGGAATCTTCTTTTATCTTTTGGCACAATTCCATTTTCCTTTTCCCATTCTTGTACTAATTTGCATCTTGGAACCCAAATTCTTTTGTAGACTTTCTTCATCCAATTCTTCCAAAGTCTTTTTAGAAATCGCTTCATTTGGTTATTCGATTTGAAAAGAAATCTTAACTCATCAAAGTCTTCTTTTGTAATTAATTTTCTAATTCATCTTTCTCTTCTATACATTTCATCAACTTGTGATCCTTTCCTAGCATTGTTAGGACTTCTTTTTTAATTTCCTTCAAGCTTTCTATATCTTTTAATTCATGCAGGGTTGCTTCTACTACTTGCTCCTCTAAGGTGCAGAGTAAGTTTAGAGATAGCTTACAACTCACCAAGTGTTCTACATTTTTTTTTTTTTTTTTTTACATATAACACATTTGTCTGTTTTGTAAGTTTCAGGCCTTCTTTAATTAAGTTTCTTGAACACTAGGAGCATATTGTTCATACACTTTATTTCAAAGAGCTATAGTGTATTTGACTTGAAAGTGTGATTTTATTGCTTGATTCCGCTTCTCATTATATTGTGTAGAATAGACCATAATTGAGTATGTTTTCTTTCTTGATATGTTTTATCATGCATATTGTTAGCAAAAGTCCACTCTGCCTTAATTAGTACTCTCTCTATCATTTTGACAAAAGAACGGATTGGCTTTTCAACTAATTCACCTTCCTACGTGTATTTTATTTTATGGCTTTTTGTATATAGTGGTTCTGGAGTTAGGTATTCCGTTGACTTGGCACCTTCTTTTGCTTTTAAATCTGCTAGCTCGTTAAAAATATCGCCTGAGTAACCCTTAATCTTGATGAGGCATGTATTTAACTCCTTTGTCTTGATTAGCTTTACAATTGTTATTAACAAACCACTATTCTTAGTCTTTAGCCAAGGTCTTATTTTGTTCATTTCTAGACCTTTTTCGATCGCTAAGATTGCTGCCATACTATCCGTTTTTATCTCTACACTTCTTCTACAAGATACGGTTAGTAAAGCAAGAATAATTGCCACCATCTCTGCTCTTGTAGATGAGAACTATTTTTTTGTTGTACATGAAATTTGGCACAATATATGTTCTGTTTCTGTAATTTTAATTGCCCCATAACCCATTATCAATTTTTCTTCATCCTCCGCAGGTCCAAGTGAGCCATTAGTATAAAAGAATAAACTATTTAAATCTCTATTTTGCTCTAAGCTCTCTATTATTTTACTTCTAATTACGGTACTTTTAACTATTCTATTGATTAAAACTAGTTCCCAACATTCACATTCTATCCCTATACTAACCTTCTATTTATTTTTTTTAACTCTTTTGCCTTAACCAAGTATTTTTCCTTCTTTTTTCTAAACACTTTTTTTATATATTGTTTCTCAAGAATCATCCTTGCACCTTTTTTTGTCTTCTGCACTATGTTTGAGATATCTCCAAGTTTTCTACATTTAACTATGTGTTTCATTTGTCTTGTTAATTTCTAGAAACTGTAGGGCTTTGTTTTCCTAACACTCTATTGTCTTTTTATATTTTTCGACTTCTATATATGCATTTTCTTTTTCTATGATTTTCTTTATATGAAGAGGTTCATTTGCATCCCCTCTCCAACAAACTTATTCTCTTACTCTTTTGTTATTGCATACTTCTTTTATCTCAATATTAGAAGCATTACTGTTATTTGCTTCGCATTTATATTTGTTTTTGATATTTCTTGATCTGGGGTCTTCTAAGATCTCCTTCTCTAATTTAGCGAACCAGCCTGGTTTTTTCCTTTTTAGACCTGCACCACGTGCTAACTTAAATTGACTCCATGTATGCATTGTTTTACCATCTTTTGCAATAAGTTGTGATACTACTATTAGGCCCAAGCTACTTGCTTTTGTCTCTAAGTAATCTATATTTAAACATTCGAGAACACATGCAATCTCCTTATCATTCACTGTTTGTATGAGGTCTAAATTCCAGCTTCTCGTAATTTCATTTTCTTCTATAACGAAGCCCAAAGCATGTGCTTGTTACAAAATGTTTATCCCCAGATTACAATCTTTCATTTCGCTTTTTTCTAGAATGGTTTGATTTGTTAAGATGCACTTCGTTGAACCTGCTTTTAGCTAACCTTGCTTAAGTCTTCTTGTTGTTGATTTTTTTAAAAGACCTGGTGTGTTTAGTCTAACTAGCAACTCTGATATATGATACTCCATATGTCTATTCCAAAGGCTTTTGAGAGCTGTTATCTCTGGATGTTTTGTTATTATATTGGCTGTTGTGGAAGGCATCAACATTTTCCATTTGATCAAATGTAACATTGGCTGATGTATTCTTTCATATTGTGCCTTGGTTAAATATGAAATCATAAGTCTATACTCCAAGGTGGGTATAAGAATTGCATTGTTTACATATATAATCTGACTAAGAGACATTTGTTTGTGTTTTAGAAGGCCTGAGATCTTGTCTACTATGTTTCTTGCTTTGGAAATATCTGACCTCTTTTAATTTTTAATTGAT